CTCCCGCCGAGGGTTCGGATCCCACATACAGACTGGTTCCCGCTCACTGGCTGAGTGAGGTGCGGGCGCAGCACCGAGGGTTGTGATCCCGTTGCCGGTCCCGGTCCGGTACGGGCGCGACACTGAGGGTTGCGATCCATTGCCGGACACGAAAAAAGACAAAAAGGAAAAAAAAATTACTGAAGAATGATTATCTCTGGGTAATGGTGAATTAAATTTTTTTCCTTGTGTTTTTCTGTATTTTATAAATTAATTGCAATGAACAAGTATTACTTTTGCATAACAAACATGTTAAATAAAACATTTATACCTTGATCTGCTATTTTGTCATAGGGGAAATGGCACTTGAAGATCAGCCAAGACGGTTTTTCCAAAGCATGACCAACATGCTTTCTGATACTTCCCAACAGTTAGAAAAGGATGTACAGTGAGTATTAACATGAGGTTTTGGCCATTTTTCACTTGGTTTTTAAGTCTACTTTGGCTATTGTATATATTCAGAAGTATGGTACACTATTAAATATTTTTAGAAGTTATAAAACTAATATCCCAAATGGATACTATCAACTTTGGTTCTTTTCTCTAACGTGCGTGTGAGACTTAATATATGATGGACACATTTTGGGGAGTGAGGTTTCAGCATTAGATTAAGAAGTATTAGAAAAATACACAAAAATGCACATTTTGAAAAAAGTCATCTTCCCATTTTTCCTACCTTGGCTTTTGTCTGCTTCATTGGGTTTAGTATATTATTGGAAAGTATGTCTAAGAAAGCATGTTTTAATCATAAAAGTGGGAAATACAGGAATAGATTTTTATTTATTGTTACTGTTGGTTTTGTTGTACTGATCTTTTGAAACTGCTTTTGTGACTAGTGCCAGTTGTTTGCATCATGTATTTTGCATTCTTGTGTAGACAAAGCATAGTGCACAGAGAGATCTCTTGAATTCTGTTATCAATGAGTGGCATTTTCCTCTCTTAGTCTATCTCAGATGGAAACAGTGGCAATGCTGGTTCTTCTTGTAATTCACCAGCTAAAATCAGCACTGTCACAAACTCTCCTGTACACCTCTGATTACTGGTTCTTCATTTATTCTAGTAGATGAACTTTCAACTAAGTGATTCACCCATCCCAAGACTTTCTCACCAATGGAGAAGCACACAAACACACACAGAGCAAATGAAGTTAGACCAGTAACAGAATTGTATGGTATAACTTAGACTATCTCCTGTTTATTTTTTTCCTTAATTTTCTAAAATTTTATGTATTTACGGAAATTACATCTCTAATTCTTGTGGAGGCCCTTAAATTCAATGTAATAATACTTTCAAAGATGTTTTTCAAATGAGAACTATGTTGGCAGTATAGTCAGACATCTTTAAGCTGCTAATGTCTAGAAAATGCTGTACCTTAACTTTTTAAAAAATAATTGAGAGCTCTATTTATTTATATGAATAAATAAATAAAATTAATAAATAAAACTATAAGTTCTGATGAAATGTAATTGTTCAATTAACCAACAAGATAAAATGATTTTAAAAAATTATCTACTTAATGTCCAAGCCAGTTCTTAATGATATTTTCAGTAATTGCTAATTTCCACTGGTAAGGAAAAGTCACCTATCAAAAGCAATTTTTAAAATTAAGCTAGTTATACAATACTGACCCAAGGATTGCGTATTTTGCACATGAATCTTTGGATGTTTAATTTGTTGGGAAGGAGTAGGTAGGGGAAGAGCAAGATAAATAAAAGCTAATTGAATAGAAAGAAAATAGTATGTAATTGGGACTTCACTCAATTTGTACTCAACCTGATTAGCTCTGATCAATTCTGTATCCTAATTAAGTGTGGAAAAAAGACAATGTCAATAAATTGTGGTCTTTTACATTTTTATGAATTACCTTTTATTCATCATCATGATACTGATTTGATTAAATACAGGCTTAATAAGCTAGGGCTTTTCTGCAAGAATCATGTGCTTCCAATTGTTCCCTAAGAGCCATAAATGTTTGTTTAAACCCCAATTTTCTATTCAAAAACCTGGAGGGTTTTTTTTTAATAGGAAAAATTATGTGTTAAAAACAAATATAAAGTAAGTGCTTTAAGTGCTTGGGGATAGTATTCACATTTTGAAAAATAGAAATGTATCCTCATGAAATGAAGTTGAAAATTGGTTTAAATTGCTTCACTAATGAAACAGAAACAATTACCTAAAATATTTACAAAAGGCTTTTCTTGGTCACTGAAAATAATCAAAAGGATGGAAATCTGATGTCGGTGTGCCCCCACATGGAAAAAGACTGTGTCGCTAAGAATTTTTTGACAGTGGTTCTGATGGAATTGATCAGAATGGATATATAAGTGGGGGGATATTCTATTCATCTTTGAATAGGTGAAAATGAATATTTATAAGATGACTGGGATCACAATAGTCTCCTGAAACTGGGACGGGATTCTATAAATTGGCTAAGGACAAGCGAACTATAAATATTGCCTTTGTTACTCAGCTTCTTTACTTGCCAGACCATTAGAGGACTAATTGTGCACATATGAGGGGGCCTTCATGGAATATGGTGTGGTTGCAATGGTGTTTTTTTCTGAAACTGTAGAACATTGACAGACAAAAAGGTCCACGTGCACTATTGACACTTTAGCCAGAGAGAGTTTTGCAGAATGTTCAAGTACAAAGACTAAGGATGGAGAAAGTAAACAATAGGGGCGAGACTACTACTCATTTGTATAAGGAACTTTTATCAGTAAATCTTGGTAATCTTGACTATCTCAATACACTTTTCTCAACTCAGACAATTTCTTTCGCTCTATTCAGTTAGTAAAACTTTATTGTTTTACTTATGCACTAGGATGCCACAACTCACTGTACTATACTCAGAATCAAAGATGCCGTAGTTTGTTCTCCATTCTGTTGCCTTTCGAGTTTGTGTGTTAAGAGGACCCGATTGTGACTTTTACATGATGTTTTGTGGTTGATTTTTTTAAATTATGGTAAGGCTGTATTTTGTCATCCTAAGCATGCCACGGAATTGTCATATCTGTTTTCCATAGTGAAGGACATGTATTAGTTTTCCTAGGACTGCCATAACAAAGTACCACAAACTGGGTGGCTTAAAACAGTGGAAATTTATTCTCTTACGGTTTTGTTGCTTTGCGTTGCTTCGCCCCCAATGGATTTGTCACTCCTCTTTCCCAGGGTGATGGAGATGCAAAGGATTACTCAAAGCCCATCTCTACTGAGCAGTGAGAGGCCCCGAAGAGGTTAACTTCCCAGGCACCCTCTAGTGAGAGGCAGCCCTTCCTTGAGAAATTAACGCAGAATTGGGGTTCTCTTCCTGCATTTATTTTCCAGACCGGGAAGTTACAGGAAGAGAACAGAAGGTGGGGTTATAGTTTAACAATATAGGCTGGTAACATTCAGTGAAACAAGCCAGATGACATTCCAGTA